AGAGAGAGAGAGAGAGAGAGAGTGAGAGAACGAGCGAGAAACAGAAAGTGCAACGTGGAGAGAGAGAAAGTGAGAGAACGAGAGACACAGAGTGAGAGCGAGAGACCAACACTCCCTTTCCCCCCCATCACCATCACCTGCAGTAACTGTTCCTTGTTGAGCAGCTCCTGGAGCAGACGGACTCTCGCCCTCCCTTCACGCCGGGGCCCGGGGTCGCCTGGTGGGGCCCCTGGCTCTCGGGGAAGGGGCTCCTATGGAGAAACACACTGAGGTGGGGGTACAGGGTGGGTCTCCCGCTGGGCATCCGTCGCGCAGGGGGCGGAGGAGGGTATAACAACCCTCGCGTTGGTCGTCGAGACTTCGCAGAGTGTACCGTAAAGTGGATTAACTGTGTTTTGTGGGCGAAACACCGGAGCCAAATTACGCACCGCAGCGTCCCACAGACAGTCGGGCATTTTTTTTTGGGGGGGGGGGGGGAGAGATTATTTATTACCCACGTTTCACCCACAAAACGCACAGCTACTACGCTTTACAGTCTATTCTGGGAAGCGCTTTGAGACGTCTCAATGCAAGGGTCCCCTGCCCGGGAATTGAACCCGGTTTCCTCTCACTTGCGGAGCGAGCGTGTTAACCACTGCGCGGCGGGAGCCCAGGGGTTGGCGTGGGCAGGCGGGCAGGGCCTCGCGGGGTCTCACCCGCTCACAGTCCCTCGTCCGGCTTTGGGTCCTCGCCACCTCGAGGCGTCCGCTCAGCTGTCCGACCTTCACCTCCAGCTCCTCAAACCTTTTCTCCTTCGCCAAGAACTTCTGAAAGGTAGAAACCAAAGAGAGAAGGCCAATAACCAGGTCCTCGCTGGGGCCGTGCAGGGATGGGGAAGCCGTGAGACTGCTCGCTCTCGGCCTTCCCCGGGTCAGGGAGGTTCAAATCAGCTGATCCTGGTACCTGGTAACGACTGGTAAGGTGTCTCTGTGTGGCGGCCGGTGGAGCAGAGGGACAAGTTGCCATGTGATGCCGCACTAACCAGAGCAGATTTTTTGGGGGGGCAACCGTGCATCTGACCCGTGCAAAATACACAGTCACTACACTTGACAATGAATGACAGCGAGCGAGAGAAAGGAGGGAAAGGTCTCGCGGTCGCCGTGGTTACGCACCTCCATGTTCAGGGGCAGGTACATGTCGGCCATCTGCTCACGGAGCTCCTCCAGGTCCTCGCTGGGGTCGGGGGGCTGCGGCCCTGGGGTGGGGGTCCCGGCCCCCCGGGGGGAGGAAGCCCCGCTGGGAAGACGGACCGGAATTCTGCTGCCGGGCGGAGGGCGGAGCGGGCGAGACGCGATGAGGGAGAGACTCCGGCTGAGCGGGAAGAGCGAGCGCTCGGAGGCGAGGGGCGTCCAGGCATCCCACTCGCCCCCTCCTCCTCCACCTCCTCCTCGAAGACCCCCTCCTCGCTCCTCGTTCTCCCCCCGAACGAGGAGCTCGACGCCGAGTGGGCGCGCGAGCGCTTCGGGCTGAACAGCCAGTCCAGCGGCATGCTCCGCGACTTATCCCGGGACAGCGGGAAGGGGGGCGTCCGCCGTCCCCCGGCCAGACGCCGCGGGACCTTGCACACCGACTCGTAGTCCGAGTCGGGCACGCGCAGGGCGTGGCAGCCGCGACAGAGCGGGTGGCGGCAGGGCCGGTGCCCGAGGGGCGTCCCCTCGCCGCGCTCCGACCAGCTCTCGAAGCAGCTGAGCGCCATGTCGTCCTGGAGCAGGAGGTTGTAAGGCACGTGCGGGGGCTCGGCGTTGTCGGCCGCCGTCTCCTGCCCGGTCCAGGGGGGCTCGGAACCCTGCGGGTGGCGCCGGAGGTAAGAGCGCCTCACGTCCCCGCACAGCTTGTCCCGCTCCGTCAGGAGGCGCTGGACTCTCTCGATGGACAGCGCCTGGACCCGGGCCAGCACCGCGTCGTAGCGGTAAACGCGCTCCAGCACGAAGACGCACTTCCCGCACAGGAACTCGCCGCGCCCGTCCCTGCGGACCGCCCGCGCCAGCACGTGGGACAGGACCACCCGCAGGTCCACCGACCCCGCCTGGCCGAAGATCCAGCGCCGACGGTTCCCCCGCAGCCGCTCGCCGCACACCCGGCACGATTCCGTCATCGTCACGGCCCCTCCGGTCCTCTCCTCTTCCTCACTGGCGGACCAGGAGCTGGAACGACAGGCCCGGGGAGGGGGGGGGGGGAAGGGGTTAACTCGGCGGCCATTCTGTGCACAGGATTATTCGGATTGTTCTGGATAAACAGAGACGCGTGTGGGTCTGTGTGTGTGTGTGTGTGGGTGTGCGTGTGTGGGGGTGCGTGTGTGGGGTGCGTGTGTGTGTGGGGTGATGCGTGTGTGTGGGGAGGGGGAAGAGGGAAAACTCCCTTCTCTTTTCCCCTCTGACAACAACAACAACAACATTTACACGGCACTGGGAGACCTGGAGATCTGAGCACACGTCCGGAACAGGGCGCAACCGGGGAGAGAAGTTTAACCCCTCATCCACGCCACAGTTCCTTAAGAGTCTCCGTGCGCTCTCTCTCTCTCTCTCCCTGGAGGGAGGCATCCTGCTCACCTAATTCCGGAGAGTATTAAGCACGGGTCGGCGAGAGCCGAGGCTTGGGGTGGGCGGTGGAGGGGGGGAAGCCCAGAGCGTGCGTTGGGGTAACGGCCGGGGTCCAACCGGCTAAAGCCACAGATTGCCATTGCTATCACTGATTTCCCACCGATTCTCCAGATGGGACAGTTAGGCTTTTGGTTTGTAGGGGTTAACCGGAGCCGAGGGGGGGGAATGACTCGTTGCCGTTGCCGTTGACTGGTCGGCCCTTCCGGGTCCTGCCGATGGGCCGGGCTGGGCCGGGCCGGGCCGGGCCGGGCCGTGCCGTCATCAGCAGCGCGTGCCCTGGAATACGTCATTCCATTGCCAAATTTATCACCTTCGTAAAAAGTTCGCTCCCGGGATAGGAGAGGCCATTTAACCCGTGAGCCGGCGCCACCCTTTTTTTTTTCTTAAAGGGCATCAGACGGCTGCGGAGGATATGAAGGACAGTCACTACACTGCTTGAGGCGCCTTGAAGCGTTTCAGCGTCGGATCGGTTGGAAGAGGTGGAAAAAAAATCGAACCGGTTTGGCCAGAGATTGTCCAAATAAGAGAGAGAGAGAGAGAGAGAGAGACGCACACTCACGCAGAAAGAGAGAGACAAGATTAGAGAGAGAGAGAGAGAGACGCACACTCACGCAGAAAGAGAGAGACAAGATTAGAGAGAGAGAGAGAGACGCACACTCACGCAGAAAGAGAGAGACAAGATTAGAGAGAGAGAGAGAGAGAGAGACGCACACTCACGCAGAAAGAGAGAGACAAGATTAGAGAGAGAGAGAGAGAGAGACGCACACTCACGCAGAAAGAGAGAGACAAGATTAGAGAGAGAGAGAGAGAGAGATACAGAGAAAGGCAGAGGAAGGGAATGAGAGACGAGAGAAAGAGGTACAGAGAGAGAGAGAGAGAAAGATAACGACAGAGAGAGACCGGGGGAGAGAAAGGGACAGAGAGTAGGAGAGAAAGAGAGAGAGAGAGAGAGAGAGAGGGATACAAAGAGAGTGAGAGAGAGGAAAGCCCTTCAACGTGTCTCAACGATGTGATAAGACGCTAAATACCGAGAGTAAGGAATATTATTATTATTATTATATCTCACGCGTCAGAGCTGTCTCTATCCACAGCTCCTGAACTACGTGCAAACACAACCTCTCCTCCCCCCCCCCCTCCTCCTCCTCTTCCCCCCTCCTCCTCCTCCTCCTCCTCTCCTCCCGCACCAGAGGAACCCGGCGAAAGTCTCGGACAGAAACAGAAAGAGACCAAAGCCGCGGCTGAAGTGCAGAACCAACCTTGAAACCAGTTCAGACCAAACCTCCCGTCGTCTCCCAGTGGGAAGAAGCAAAGTTGCCTTGTTCCCCGCGCGCTCGCTCTCTCGCTCCCTCTCTCTCTCTCTCTCTCTCTCCAAACAGCCACGTCTGCCCCCAAACCAGAGGAATCAGCTGGAAAGAGTTCGTGTTTGCTCCGAGCAAATATTCGAGCGCCCGGACCTTAAAGGTGCCTCCGACTCCGCGGTGGAGCGCGGCGGCTGCTGACAGCAAACACACCTTTACCGGGTGCCTCCCTGACCCTCCCACCTCCCACAGGTGTGTCCTGAGCTGGGGGAGCCAGCGATTGCGTCAGGAAGGGGAACGGGCAGGTGTCTCTCGCCCGGCGTCGACCCGCATGCATCGCTGCCTTCGCAGGCTCCCCCACACCACCACCCACCCCACCCCCCCCCCCCACCCCCTCTCGTCTGCCCCCATGCACGTCTGCTCGCTCCGGGGCTGGGCTCAGGGTCGGAGAGACTCATCGGGCTCTGGGCCAAGGCGAGACACGCCACAGATCCCCTACTGGCCCACTCTTGGTACAGTCCTGACGTGACTGAACCTGGGCAGGTTAAGCAGGTTCCCAGACCCGTGTAATCCACTCCCGGTCGGTCATTGCTCTGAGCAGCTTTGCTGCAGCCAGTTAACTCTTTCCGGGCAGCCCGGCATTTGGTATCGCGCCCCGTCACGTCGTCGGGACGTCTCAAAAGCGCTTCGCGGCGGATCGACTGTGAGCGAAACTCGGCAGCCGATCGCGCGCAGCGGTGTCCCAGTTGTGGATTCAGTGACCATTTTTTTTCGGGGGGGGGGAGAGAGGTTTTTACCCCCAGAAAGCATTCGACTAACAACCGGGTTCCTACTTAGCGTTAGGCAAACCGAGGCGTGCGGGGTACGGAAACTTTCGCCCCACCCGGGAACCGAACCCGGGTCCTCTCGCTTGCGAGGAGAGTGCTCTAACCAACCCGCTGCTACAGGGCTCCGCATCCAGTGCCTTATCACGTTGCCTGGACATCTCGCAGCGCTTGACAGGATTTACCGGTGAGTGTAGTGACTGTGTGTTTTGTGGGTGAAACCTGCAGCCGGTCTGGTCTGCACCGCAGCACTGTCGCGCTGACAGTCATGGAGTGAGCGAACGGTTTAGTTTGGGGGACGGTTGGCCAGGAACTTGAAATCGATTTGTTTGGCAATAGGGAGCCAGTGGACAGGCACTGGCAGAGGGAGCTTTCCGTCACCTGCGATCTTCAGCATGACTTTATTATCTTTTCTCTCTTGACCGGAAGCTACTTGACAGCTGTAGACCCCTTCGTCCTGCACCGTCAGCTGCTTAATCAACAGGGACACGTTGCCATTCCTGAACTGCGATTTGTACAGTTCCGTCCTGTGGGCATAGCTGAGATCTTGCAGCGTGGGCTGGTCCTTCCCTTCTCTGTACAGATGGACGGGTTCCCCCAACTTTAATCTGTTCCACCGCACCTCCACGTTGGCCGGTAGCTCAGCCGGCACCAGCTGGCAGTCCAACACAACCTGTCCCCCAACAATGCCCACCACCGCGTTCTCCGGCGTTCTCACGATGAAGCCTAGGGAATCCACAACCAGAGAAGCCCGTTAGTGTAGTGGTCAGCAAGCGAGAGGATCCGGGTTCGATTCCCGGTCGGGGCAAAACCTTAGGCAGGTTTCCTTACTTCCTACACATGCCTGTGTTTATCTTGCAGTAAGTAGGAAACTGGAAGCGTAGCTACATGAGGAGGCCATTCAGCCCCTCGAACCTTTTCCGCCATTCTACAAGATTACGACTGATCTGTCCCTCAAGTCCAATTACCCGTCTTTGCTCCCGTTTCCCTCAATATCCGACAGTTTTGAAAATGTGAACGGATCCAGCATCCACCACTTTTTTTGGGGGGGAAGAGAGTTCCAAATTTCCAATACCCTTTGGGTCCTAATATAAGAAGATAAGAATTTGCTAGACAAAAGAAGACCAAGGTCCATCTAGGTTGCCTTCCTGGCAGTCACTTGACATGTTGTGTCCCAAACTATGCACTGTATCCTGAGATATCATGTTCTAATTCCATCCCTAAATGGCCTAGCTCTCATTTTAAGAAGATGCCCCCTTGTTCTGGATTCCCCCATCAGAGGAAATAGTTTCTCTGTAACTGCCCTTCTGAATTGTTTTAAAAAACCTCAATTGGATCACGCCTCAACTTTCTAAACTCAAGGGAATACTGACCACGTTTATGCAACCTGTTCTCATAATTTATGCTTCTCTTCGCCTCCCCTCTGGTTCTTTCGCCAATCGTCTTAAATCTGTGTCCTCTGGTTACCAACCCGCCACGGGAAGCAGTTTCTCTTAATTTACTTTATCAAAATCCCTCGTAATTTTGAGCACCTCTATTAAATCTCCCCTCAACCCGCTCTGGTCTAAGGAGAACAATCCCAGCTTCTCTCGTCTCTCCACATAGCTGAAGTCCCTCATCCCTGGTAATGATATTTACCAGATATTTATTAATGTATTTATTAATAAATGCTAGCCTCTGGTGAACATTTGATTTGTTTCCGGGCAGTTGGGACCCTGGTTTCAAACATCTCACCTGAATGTAGCTGGACAGACAAAACGCATGCAAGTCAGAAAAGGCGGAGTTCTTTTTCTTACCAAAGGCTGAAGGCATCGACCGAAGGAACATCAGAAAGTAGAACTTCGGATCCATTGACCCCAAAGCTTTGCTGGTGGGATTTTTAGTCTGAACAGGTACCAGAGAGCTACTACTCTCTGCGGTAAAGCTGTAAGAAACAAGGAACCCAGAGTTTACATTGCACACCGCCAAATAATAAATTAGTCACTCCATCCACAACTTGGTGGGACACGGTGGCGTATGATCGTCTGTCTGAGCTTATCGCAGACCCACAGCCGTTTCGCTTTCAAGCCAAGTCATCTACTCACAGAAAGCATCAAAGTCCACCCAGTTTTCTGGGTTGTGCTATTTCCTCATTGGGTTGTCCTGACTGGTGGGACCCACACACACAAACATGTTCATGGGCTTGTGAGAGACCCAGAGAGAGTGGTGGTGGTGGAGGTGGTGGTGCTGGTGGTGATGGGGGGTGATGGCCCTGATCTTGCAGTGAGGAGGACGTGTTGAGGAGGAGCTCCTTCTAAGCCACAGGTCACTTGCAGCTCTGAACGCGGAAATAGACTGCTGCGCATGCGCCAACTTGGGGAGGGAGGCGGGGCTTGTTCCCCCCCCCACAACCAATACGTTTTCCAAATGGACCAATAGTAATTCCTACAAGGATTGATTGGTTGGTTGATTGGTTGGTTAGTTGATTGATTGGTTGGTTGATTGGTTGATTGGTTGGTTGGTTGATTGATTGGTTGGTTGATTGATTGGTTGGTTGATTGATTGGTTGGTTGGTTGATTGGTTGATTGGTTGATTGGTTGGTTGGTTGATTGGTTGGTTGATTGATTGATTGATTGATTTATTGATTGAATGGTTGATTGGTTGGTTGATAGATAGATAGATTGATTGCTTGATTAGTTGATTGATTGGTTGGTTGGTTGATTGATTGGTTGGTTGGTTGGTTGAGTGGGTGGGTGGGTCGGTCAGTCTGGCTCAGGTGGTCGCACTCTCTCGCCTCTTGAGTCGGAAGGTTGCGGAGTCTCGGAGCGCCGTGGTTAACGCACTCGCCTCGCAAGCGAGTGGACCCGGGGTTGATTCTTGGCCGGGGTCAAGCCTTAGCCGGATTTCCTTATTCCACACATCTCTGATGTAGCCCCACTAATTGGGCGGACCTTCTGCCTACTCAAGACCCTCCTCTTCGACCGGGCTTTCGATCTCCCTGCTTCCCCCCCCCCACTGCCCTCCTCCTCTCCCCCACTCCGACCCCCCCCCTCCCCCCCCACCCCAGCTCGGGTCCAAAACTATCCAGCGCTTTGCGAAGTCCTCCCGACGTAAAAGGGGCTTTACAAATGCAATTTTGTTGTTGGTTTTGTTGGTGTCTCCAGTCCGGAACCTTGGCACCTTGTTTGACCCTCAACTATCCTTTCTACCACAAATCTGTGCCATAACCCGCTCTGCCTTTTCCACACTTCTGCAAAATCGCGCGGCTCCACCACAGTGTCACACCGCAGGTCCCCGAAAGCCTCATACAGGCTTTCCTTACAGCGAGGCTTGACTATGCAAAGCTCTTTACTAGTCGGCCTCCCCAACTCCGCAGATCATCCAGAACTCTGGAGCCCATTCCCTCTCCCACAAAAGGCTCCGTGACCCTATCACCCCCA